GGAGGGGAGGGATGAGTGAACTTCAAGAGGGATAGAGAATGAAATGTGCAAGAAGGGAGAAGGAGGGAGAAAGAGAGGAAGGGAGAGGAGAGAGATAGAGAGGTTGAGGCAGAGACTGAACTAAAGGCCAAGGGGCCCAGGGAGCTGGGGGCAGAAGGAACTAGCTGTGAAGACCCCATTCCAGGCAGTGTAGGGGGCGGGCCTGCTGGCAGCAGTGGAGGCTGTTTCCGCTGCACCCCTTATCAGCCTGCTGCCAGATGTTCAGATCCGATGCCAATGTCAGAGAAGTCCATAGTGCTGGGTCAAGGCCGTGGCCAGCAGGAGCCTCAGCTGCATCATGGGGAGGGGGGCTGGGGGCCTCCTCTAGACCTGCTGGCTTTTCCTCCTCCTGTGGCTCACCAGGCTGGACCACCTGGTGAGGGTGGAAAAGACTGGGTGTTTCCAGGGGGCTACTGCTCTAGACAGAGAGCCAGAGACTCGTGGAGGTAGTGTCTGGAGACTGACATGAAGATGTGTACACTACTGCACCCCCCACCCCCACAAACACATTGGAGGTAGCATGTAGACACACACATGCAGATACACACACACACACACACACACACACACACACACACACACACACACCAGTATAGAACCACATGGGGACAACTTGGGGTTCATATCAGAACTGTCCACCTTTATACTTCTCCGTGTCCCAACCTGCTGGCGCTCCTGCTCTGCATAATGCTTAGTGCCCATCTCTCCTTTCCACCCCCGAGACTTGAACCAAGACTACAGCCAGAACTGGAGCAGCCAGGTAAGTGCCTCTTGGTGACTGGTGCTATTCCCAACATATTCACTTAGAAGCTGCATGCCCTCCAAGGAAGGCAAGGGCCAGAGGGACCTGAGACCTTCTAGAATGAAGCCTGGTGGAGCCCCTCCAGGAAGGGGCAGGTGCTGGGTGTCTGGTGGTGCTGAACCTTCAGCCTTGGTCCTGGGCCTCTCTGCCATGCTCCTGGAGCGTGCAGTGCAGCTGTGGCCCCTTCCTGGGGCAGCTTATCTCAGAGCACACACGCTTGGCCCTCAAGAGGTGACCCAGCCTTGCTCCCCACATTCCTCTCAAATTCTGCAGCCAGTAGGCCCCCCACAGCTCTGAGACTAGGCCTGTGCTTGGGGGATAGTCAGAGCTGCCACTGGGCTATGCCCCTGCTCTCAGACCTAGCCTCCGACAGTCACTGTTGGTATCTCTTGGCTTTCTCTGCTTGTCTCTGTCTTGATCAATCTGTTTATTCCCGTATCTTTCTCTTGGATTGTCCCAATTTGTTTGTTACTTTCAGTGTTCTAATATGTTTTTCTTTGCTTTTTCTCCAGGGTCCTTGAATGATACCAAATCTGGGGACACCTCTGCTCTTCTGACTCAGTGACTATCCTCAGTGGGAAAGTACATGAAAAGTCAGACTGTGGTGAGGGGACCAAGGACCCGGAAAAGGGAAGCCTGTCCTGGAGCAGTGGGGTGACTGGAGCAGCATACATTAAGGCCCCCTTTCACCCACCTAGGGAGCAATCCCCAGTAGGTACACAAACCAGGATCTGGTGAGCTCCCCCATGTAGTAGAGAAGACTGGGGTGGGGGGAAGGGGAGGAAACTGGGGCTGGAGGTCTTGGCCTGAGGACCTCCTTCCTGTTTGTAGGGAAGTGACTGCCTCTGAAAGCTGCTGGGGGAAAGGAGGGAGGCCATGGTGACTTCCGGGAAGCTAGCCAAGGGCCTGAGGCCACCCTCCCTGTGCCCACATGGGGCCCTCCAGTCCTGGCTTAAAATAGTGCAACTCCTCCATTGACGTTGGATCCAGCCTGGACCTCAAAGGGCTGCAGCAATGGTTTGTGCTGCCAGTAGGGTCTCTCTCTCTCTCTCTCTCTCTCTCTCTCTCTCTCTCTCTCTCTCTCTCTCTGTGTGTGTGTGTGTGTGTGTGTGTGTGTGCACGCATATGTGTGTGTGTGTATCTACCCAGCTATCCAGTCCTAGCTAGACTGTGGCCCAAGGCTATTGTGGCCACAGGGAGAAAACACACAGCCTTGGATGCAAGTTTCAGCTCCTGCACTGATCAGCTTTGAGACTTTGGTCTGGTGCCTGCCTGGCTTTCAGCCAAAATGAGACGGTGGCGTGGCCACCATAGCCTTCTCAGGCATAAAGTGGATGCTCAGAATTGGGTTGTTCATGTTGGCTGTGCCCTTCCTTACTGTACTCCACTATACCTACATGCTCTTAAGGACTGGGTGCAGAGCAGGGAAGGCTTGTGGAGAGGGAGCTTGCAAGGAGGGCAAGGATGGGGCTGTGGTCTCCATGGTGAGACTTGTTGCCAAGGGAACAAAATCTCTAGGAGCCCTGGGTCTGGCAGTTGGGCACTTTTGCCACAGGAGCTGGCAGGCTGATTGTCACTGCACCCAAACTCCTGATGGGCAGCCAGGCCAAGGCCAGGTCAAACAGAGAGGAGGCTCCTGGCTTTGCTGGGCCTCTGCTGCTGAGGTGGAGGGGGCTGCAGCTTCAGCAAACAGCCTCCTTGTACGGATGGACTTCAGTAAGCCCTTAGAGCTAGCCACCATCATTCCTAAACAACTGAGGCACAGGTACCATCCTCTGCTTAGCATTTAGCCCAACCAGGTTGTATCAAAATTACCTGATCATCGAATTTGCTTATTTTTTCCATGGAAGTTCTGTTGGGTCAGCATTCCATGGGATAAAATTTAGAACAGTGCTCTCCAAATATCTAAGTGGCTTCTTAAGTAATGGTGAACTGTGAGAACAGGGCAGGTGGGGATCATGGAGGCATCTATCTGGGTCATTGTTAAATACCACCATGGAGGGGATGAGCTGAGACCCCTTGTTGATGCTCCTCTTGTCTGGAAAGGGCTCCTTACAGCCAGACCACCCTAATTCCACCACCATTTCTGGATGTTTATGGCTTCACTGATGGAACCTGGAGCAGCCAGCACAGAGACATCCTCACCTTCAGCCTGGTAAGCTCAGTGGACATACTTCCAATAGGCACCCAGCATTCATTTCTATGCACTCAGGAGCACTCCCTAGTTAGGTCACCTATGCAAATTATTTACCCTCTTTGGGCTTCAGTTTTCTTATTTGTAAAATGGGATTACCATAGTACATACTTTACTGGGTTGCTCTGGGGAGTGACCTCATGGATGTCACTACAGTCTATGTCTACGTCAATTATTATTTTGGTGCTGAAACTGAACTTGGGGTATCACACTGAGCTATACCCCTCCATTCTTCCTAGACTGTTACCTCATACCCCAGGAAGCTCACAGTTCACCATTACTTAAGAAGCCACTTAGATATTTGAAGAGCACTGTTTTAAATTTTATCCCATGGAATGCTGACTCAACAGAACTTCCATGGAAAAAAGTAAGCAAATCCGATGATCAAGTAATTTTGGTACAACCTGGTTGGGCTAAATGCTAAGACTTTCCACAGCCTTGTCTATGCAAAGGAAGTTTGGGAATCTGGGAGGAAAATAAAGAACGTGGCATTTCCTCTGTTTCTGGCCAGTTTCTTTTTTGACAGAGCCTTGGGGATGTCAGTGCTTTTCAGTACGATTAGGTTTGGCCTTTATAGACAGTTTACAGGATTAATCTTTCATTAGTTGGTTTGTTTTTGAATAGTGAAAGGTTCAACCAAAGGCCGTCTGTTCCTAAGCTTTGTTACAAACTCCATTTGTGCTCAGAACTGCTGAAGGAGCAGGGAAGCTCTTGTAACCTTGGTATCAGATAGACCTGGATTCAAAAACTAATTCTACTGCTTGATATGTGTCATCTTAGGCAAGTGGCAAAACTTCCCTGAGCCTGTGCGCTTCAGAGCAAAAGGGATGACAGGGTACAGCGCAGGTGGCCATAGGGTGTGGCAGTCACTAGGCAGCCAGTGCATACCCTTCCTGCACCTGTTTCTATCTGCTCCCTCTTAAAGACACCCCATTACCTCCTTCTGCTGTGGTCTCTTTGTTTCAAATCACCTCTTTCAAGCCTCAAGGGCTCTTTGGCACCTTATGCTGGGCATGGAGCATAGAAGACAGCTGGGTGTCCCTGTTTCACGCAGAACAAATTAATAGACTGAGGAGACTCCTCTGGCCTTTATCTTGCCATTGAGGAGTCTCCCTCTGTCTTTACAGCCGTCACCCTGCCTGAGTGTATGAGCAAGATTACAAGATGGTTGAACTTTGGAACCGGTAGATCTGGGTTTAAGACTTTCTGTGTTGCCTCTGGCCATGTCCCTTGACTTTTCAGTCACTATTGCTCACATCCTACATAACTTATAAAGAAGCCTTATTGGTATTCTGGAGAGTCGGGTATTAACATGCTAGATCGCCGATAGGCAAGGCAGGCCACCATCATGCAGCACACTGCTGCCTCTGATACAGCTGAGACTCAGCAGGTGGACTTCTCCTCAACTCCAAACTCCTTCCAGTGGCGCTCCAGGGCCCAATGGCTTCCCCAGACTCAATTTCTTCCTCATGTTCTTTTGTTTTATAGGATCTTGGAACAAGCTGCAGTGATGTGTAGTTCTCATCTTGGTGACTTTCAGAACCATTCTCATCAGGGAAGCCCCTCCTTTAGGTTCTTACTACCTGTCCCCATCCCAAGTTACAACACTCTCCTTGCAATACTTCACAGGTCTATGTATCTCCACCACGCTATCCCCTAGCTGTGCCTTTTTTCTGGCCGGGAACCTTGTGCAAGTCTTTTCACCATTCTCAACCTTAGTTTCTTCATTTACAAAATGAGACAATGGTCCTTAAAACTCATGGTGGTCTAGGTTTGTGAAAAAGCAACACAGTGCCCGGCAGACAGCAGGCACTCCCTGGCTCCTGAAATTCTGGAGCAGATCACTCCTTGCCAGGCTCTCAGCAACAGAGATGGTGGTGCTAGCTATGAGCAGGAGTCCATGTCTCAGGACACCCGGCCATCCCTCCCCCGAGTCCCAGATAAGCTTCACAGACAGACGGCATGTGCAGAGGATTCACATTTATTGGTTCAAATACAATACCTAATGCTTGCTAAACATGCATTTCACACTAATTGGTCACATTTTCACAGGTAGTCAATTCACAGAACAGGGCCCACCCCTTGCCAGAAGGCAAGTGTGGGAGGTAGCAGAGGGCCTGAGTAGCCTGCAGAGCCCGCCAACTATCATTTGGTCATGCAGGGTTGATGGAGCCAGGCTGGCAGGCAGCCCTTGGCCGGCCCTTTGGGAACAAGGGCTCGGAGACATCCTATTCACTTGATTCCTACACAGGACTGTGGGAGGACTGGGAGGTAGCCTAAGGCCGGCTCATCACTTGCCATCAGAGCCCCTGAAATCCAAACCATGGAGCGTAGGAAGGTCTCTTCCAGGGGTGGCTTGTCCCTAGCTGGGCAAGTGGAAAGAACTCCCCAGACACTGCCCAGACATTACAATGCAGCCACAAACCCCTATCACAGGCCTGGGATGGCAATACAGACAAAAACACCAACAGTCCAGGGTTTCGTTCCCGACAGAAACATGTAAACAGCACGGGAGCTACAGTATTCTTTTCCCACAGGAATCCTGAGAGAGGAATCGACCAGGATGTCACTCATGAGGTAGTTTTTTTTTTTTTTTTTTTTTTTGGTTTGTTTGTTTTTTTTTTTTAAATGGAAATTTGAGTCAAAAACATTATTACCTATTATATTTTAGCTAAGAAAAAAGGTCACCCAAGAGCAAGAGAGCCCTTTGGCTGGCAGGGCTGGCTTCAGGGTTTAGGAAACTAGCCTCCACCAGTAGCACTTTTTTTGGGGGTTTGGAGCAGGCCCTGGCCTTTCTCACACTTCCATTTAAGCCTACAACTGATACCCAAGCAAGCTGGGGTCTATTTAGGGCTACAGTCTGAGAAGAGGACTTGTCCTGGGCAGAAGGGCCAGGCTTCCCATGAGCACCATAGAGACTCATGTGTAGGATGATCAGAAGTCTTGAGGAAGGCCAGACCTAACCAAAGAGGCAGCTTGCTTCCAGGTCAGTGGACTGTAGCTTCGCCCTCTGAGGAAATGGTCAGGGTTTGACTCTCTAGTCTAGGGAAGATGTTACTTGTGGCAGCCAAGAAAGGGCTTTCTGGGGACCCTTTAATTAAATACACATCCCTGAGCTGTGGCCCCAGAAGTGCCTGCTTCAAGGCTGACCAGTTTCCAGCACCTGGTGGGATGACTGCCGTTTTTCATCCTAAGACATAGATAAAACACTACTTCATGGACACTGGGCATGAGGAAAAGGGAGGAGGACCAACAGCAGAGGGGTGTGTGGGTATTCCCATGGATCAAGGTGGGGGAGTCAGTTAGTGGGTTTAAAATCAAAGTTTAATAGAAGGGCTGGTCTGAAAGACTAAATTTCTTAAAAACAGCTGCAATAAAAAAAAAAGTAACAAGGAAAAACCACGAAGAATAGTGTTACAAAGGCAGAGACACAGAACGTCTGCTCGGTTTTCTGCCCTATGGGAGGCCAGGGCCCCTTTACTTTGGCTAACCTTGGCCACAACTTAAGAGACTGCCTGCTGCCTATCTGTCCCATTATTCAGGAAGTCAAGAACAAACAAGAGAGGTGCAGGGCAGCAGACTAGACAGCTGGCTCAGACCGTGGCAGCATGTACTTCCCTGAATAGTGGGGCAGGTCAGAGGTAGGCTGATACATGTGGAGCGGACAACTTTGGGTGATGCCTCTATGTTCTCCTACCCTCCTGGTTCTATGATCAGGACAGGGAGGTTCCTGACTGCCCTCTTCAGCTGTAGGTTGGCTCTGGGGACAGGGTGTCCTGAGCCAGGTGGAGTGCTTTGAGACGAGTTGTAGGGAATTTCTTCAAACTTAAGGGTGAGACCACCAAACCCTGCAAAGGTCACTGAAGGTCTACAAAGGGAGTCAGAGAACATGAATTACAAAGCTCCAAGAATCCAAACTTTTATCTTGAGTCAAGAACACATACAAGAAAAGGAAAGGGAAGCCTGTATGTTTTGGCATAATGCAAGGAGGTGGATTCTCCTTTTCAACATGGCTTTTAGGGCTATATTTTTTATGGTGAAGAATTCTCACTCAAAGTGAGTACTTTTAGTGGCCAGGATCAGAGAGGACAGGAGAGAGAGGAATGAGAAATAACGTGCACAAATTTTTCCTTCTTCCACTAGCAAAAAGGCTGCCTGTTAACCAAACATTATGGGGGAAAAAAAAAGGCAAAAAACAAGCACACCAAACCTCCCCCTCCAACCTTTCTCTGTGTCCTTCAAACCAAAATCACAAATACATCTAGTGGCTGACCTAATGTCTCCACGCTGCTAGCTACACTCCTACCTTCTCCTCATAATACCTGAGTTTGCAATGCAGCATAGTCACTTTACCCTGTTTAAAAGAAGCCCATGTCATAAAAGGACTGGGTGCAGAAGACATTAAAGGCGGTCCACAGGTCAGGCTCCAGCTCAGAACACACAGCCACTTGGCTCAGAGATTCTGCAGGGCTCTTGGCAATGAAAGGGCTCTTTGTTCTGTGGAATCTGTTGCAAACATTTGTAAAAATGGATTTGTACAATGGCAACTTGCAGAACCTTTCCCCCACTCTACAAATTAACACCTTGCTCTGTTTAATACTTCATTATTGGAGAGACATGTTCTTGCCTCATCAGAGCTTTGACATTCAACACACCAGGTAAGATGCTAATTTGAAAAGAAATTTCCAAAACTAGCAATTTGACAAATGGAGGTCTAAGCAAAAGAAAGCTGCCGTACATAGGTGATGTCTCTGAGAGGTCTCTCTGATTCTCACCTTGAGGAACACAGCTGAGACTCTGACCTGGAGCCAAAGAATGTGATCTGGTTGGTTAAATACAAAATTTGAGGCAAACAAGAAAAATATTGTGAACTTAGAAACAAACATACACATCAACACACAAATATCTTCCCACCAACATGTGAAAAATATTCCGTCTGGAACTTTCCTGAGGAACACATTTCTTTTTTTCTTTCTTTCTCAGAGCAGCTGGGGAATAAGACTGAGAAATAATGCTCTGAACTTTGGACATCAAGGGACATTAAGTGTCACTTTGTGGTACCCGTAACATTTTACTAGAGAGAAAAGCTCTAGTGAAGACTACCTAGGATGCACAGGATGTGGTGGCCTCCTATGTGAACCAGGCTTCATTGGGGTAGAGTAAACAGTTCCTGAACACAAAGGCTCAAGGAGATACTTGTGGGTGTGGCAGGCCAGCCAAGAGATGCAGCCAGTGGAGCACCTGCCTGGGGTGCTGCTGTAGGAAGGCCTGGTGTGGGCAAAGAAAAGAAAAGCAGCTGAAACAACTCTAAGACAAACTTGGTGTAGTCCTAACCAAATTCTGGAGGGCAAGAACTCTTCTTAGAACTAGGTGGGGCAGGCAGTAAATCACAACGGCTCCAGGCTGCATCTGTAGAGGCAGCAGGCAAGCCCTTAGACACATGAGGTAGTTTAAAGCCCCTTTCCCTTCCCGGTACTTCTGGCTCCATGCCTCCAAGCCTTGGTAGACCAGACCACTGATGTTAGTTGAAGGAATAGCTGGGTCTTGGCTTTCTGTTGTAGAGCCCTGGTAAACGGATCTCATTTTGGAAATAATAGGAGAGCTTACAACAAAATTTAGGAACCAAGTCTCTGGTTCTTTCTACTGTTTAAAAATGGTAGTTTTAGCAGAGCAGTGGTGGTGTACACCCTTAATCTCAGCACTTGGGAGGTAGAAGCAGGTGGATCTTTGTGAGTTTAAGGCCCGCCTGGTCTACAGAGTGAGTTCCAGGACAGCCAGGGCTACCCAGAGAAACCCTGTCTCAAAAACAAAACAAACGAACAAACAAACAAAAAACCAAACGACAACAACAAAATACAAAACCAAAACAAGTTCAAGGTTTGGTTCTGAGGATAAGGTGGGGAGAGAACAGGGGCTTCCAAAGGAGTCTATTCTTTCAGTAGGTTGGCCTTCATCCCTCTACCCTTTGAGAGAAACAAGTTAAAGGAGAATAAATCAGAAATGGCATCAGATCCAGAACAGGGCATTTTTCTGTCACCTTTCTAAAGGACAAGGAGTCAAATTCATAGCAGGGAGGGATGGAGTCTGAAGAAGGTAGGCCTTGGTAGATCTGGGTCAGGAAACTAGGCAGCTGTGAGCCCCAGGTTAGCTGGGAGGCAAGTCCTATAGACTGATTTATTGTTAGGACTCTGCCTGGATGAAAAATTGACAGCAGCATTCAAAAGACAACAGTGTGTGGGGTGGGAGGGATGCAGCAGAAGGGAGGAGCAGGAGTTTCTGCCCTTTAGGCTTGTGGGATGAGGTGATGGTTAATCCTCATCAAACATTGAGGATTAAAATAAAAATTGCCTCTCAAACATCCTACCCGCCTCTTTAGTATATCTCCCTATACCATTTTGCTCTTTTGGCATACTCTTTTACTTAGTAAGTCTGTGGCTATAAAAAGGCAGTTTGTTCTCTAACAGACAAGTGTACATCTGCTGAGGAATTGTGGAAAAGGTAGGGATGGTCATATCCCGGTTTCCATTGAGGTAGTTGTCTTTGTCAACATTATGGAAATAGTCGTCTAGTCCATCCCACCCTTTCCCTCAAAATACAAAAGAACTATCTATAAACAATGACAACACGGTAACATTAAACATCTTCACATTCTGTAAACTGCAAGGAAATGCATCTGCTGCATTCACACAAAAGCATGTGCATCATGTTGAAGGCCATACATTCAACTCTGTCGTGAAATAAATATATAGAAAAATGAGGTTAAAAACAGACAAACAAACAAATTCTTCTTGTGATGGAGGTAGCTGTTCCACAGTCTCCATCTTGGTCTCTCTGGCTCTTTCCTCTGGAGCCTGTCCCCGCCCACCCAAGGCACTGCGAACACCTGAAGCAGTGCAGGGGACAGGTCACTCCTTCACTGCACTTGTCTTGCAGGAATGCAGCACCACCTTAAAGAGGAGGGGCAGCTGCTCCAGGGGCACGTTCACCATCTTTCCTAGGTAAAGGGAAGAGAGGAATTAGCAGCGGCTACTAGCGAAGCCTGTCTGGTCTATTCTCAGGCTGCTGGATCTCCTTAGTGTAGGACAAGGGCAAGACAAGTATCAGGAGTACAGCATAGGTCATAAGATTAGATAATGTCAGGGTGTCTAGGCTCACTCTTCCATCTGCTACACTTGTTCTATGCCAGCCAGTTCAAAGCATTGTCTCATTCAAACTCATAATGTTTTTGTGATTGCCTTTTACCCCATTTTACAGCTGAGGATCTGAAATGGAGACGGAGTCCTACTTGGCTCTTTGTAGCTAAAATACTATAGGAAACTTGCTTCCTGCCTAGCAAGTTTCTCTCTAGCATTCTACAAAATACTGCTCTTCAAAACAGAATAACTGATTAATGAAAGTACTTGGGTAGTAAAGGGAAGAGTTACAGGGGCAAATAAATTTGAAATGTCTGGAGATAAAAGAGTTTGACAGGTTTTTTTTTCACTGATGACTTCTCAGAGCATTAAGCATACAAACAGTGTAAGTGAAACATCTATGTAGTTCTCCCTAACAGTACCGTAGAATCACCTGGAGGGCATTAAGAAAATACTGATGCCTGGGCTTCACCCCATACCAATGAAATCAGAATGTCTGGAGATGAGGGAAAAAAAAGCTTTTTTCCCCAAAAGCTTTCCAGGTGATTGGAAACACTGCTGCCGGGTCCAGCTCATATCTGCTAGACTGCTCTGTGGCTCAAGAAATAGAGAAAAAAAGACTGACATGTTTGTTGTGGGAGATTTATACATTGTGTGAAGACATATTGCTGTGATTGGTTTAATAAAGAGCTGAATGGCCAATAGCTAGGTAGGAGGTATAGGCAGGACTTACAGACAGAGAGGGGAAGTAGGAGGAGATAACTGAGGTGCAAAGGAGAAGCCAATGAGACATGGAGGGAGTCAGACATACAGAATGAAAGAAAGATAAACAGCCCTGAGGCAAAATGTAGATTAATATAAATGGGTTAATTTAAATTATAAGAGCTAGCAGGACAAGCCTAAGCAAAGGATGAGCTTTCATAATTATTATTAAATCTCCATGTCATTATTTAGGGCTGGTGGCAGAAAACAAAGTCTGATTATACATGTTTTCCTTCAAAAATTGTATTGCTGAATTTTACAGAAAAAAATCCCAGTATAACCATTACCCCAATGGGTTCTGGACATCAAAAACAAGAATCCTCACTATGTGAAGTAAAGAACAATAAGGAGCCAAGGTTACACACTGAAACAGACCTACTAACAGTCAGGAGCTTAGCAGAGGGCTCAAGACAGACACAAAATTCCTTTGTGAAACACAGGAGCTTAAAGGTGCCACTTTATATGGCCCTGGAAAGAGTATGCGAAATCCTATGAGACAAAGTTTTTTAAATTGATATATAATTCGCATATAAAATTCATTATCTAAAAGCATACAGTTCAGGACATGAAGTGGAGACTCTGAGCTTGCTTTCCTCATCCACAGAACACCTGTACACAATAGGTACTTGGGACACGCCAGTTTCTCTTTTCTAAAAGGAAACACAAACTTCCTATTCCAATAGAACTTTTCTGAGGGTAAGAGTAGTAACTCCTTCTGCAGCTGGTGATGGGCCTGGAATGAGTATCCTGTGAACCCTGCTAGTCTCAACCCCTTCACAAGCTTGGAGAAGCAAGGAAGTGTTGGAAGCCTGGACTCAGAATATTACCTGCAATGTATCGGATCTCTGGCAAGCACATCATAAGATCAGGAAAGCGGTTTGGTTGATGTGTATATTTATATTCAGTAAAATCCTGACAAATGTACCAATACCGCTTATTCAATTGTTCCAGCTGTGAGGCACTGGTCAGACCCCTGATGTCTGTGAAAAAACAAAACAAAACAAAACAAAAATCACACAGGGAATAAGACAGTAAACACCTTTTTTTTTTTTTTTAAATGAGAAGTTATTAAACACAGTTATAACAGAGATCTTTTCTCCTTTTGATGTGAAGAAACTAAGATCTGGATAAGGTAAAAGAAATAAGATAGAAAAGAAGTGATAGGCAAAGAACAGTCCTTTGTCTGAGCCCTAAGTGCTAAGCTGGATATCTCAACATCATATCAAGGTCTTTTTTTTTTTTTAATTTATTTTTACATGCATTGGTGTGAAGGTGTCAGATACCCTGGAAATGGAGTTATAAACAGTTGTGAGCTGCCATGTGGGTGTTGGTAATTGAACACAGGTCCTCTGGAAGAGCAGACAGTTCTCTTAACCGCTGAGCCATCTCTCCAACCCCAACATCAAGGTCTTAATACAGTGTGTGGTGGCACAAAACAGGCACCAGTGAATGTGGAACAAGTGGCTAACTCTTTACCCAACAATACTTCACAGTATCATTGAAGTGGAGGTTATCAGAAACATTGGTGATATCTACAAATTCAAGAACCTGACATGTGCCATCTCCAGTGTCTCTGTGTTTTTACTATTCTATTTTGATTGTATGTATGTATGTATGTATGTATGTATGTATGTATGTATGTCTCTATCTGAAGTACAGGAGATGAATAAAGCATACAGTACGTAACCCAGCCTTTGAGGTCCAGTACAAATTTCTCCTCTAAGAAGTTGCTACTCATCTTCCCCACATGCAGTACAATTCATGTTTGAGTGCTATCAGAGTGTACATTCTTTAGGGACCTGGAGGCTGGTCTGTTTTTTTTCTCCTCCCCCCACCCACCCCTGCCAATGTCTTTAATATATGGTACAGGGCTTGGCTAGAGAAGGTATGTAGGTCACCTGATAAATGCATGACAGTATACAGACAGGAGTAAGAGGCCTACCCAGTACTGGAGGGTAGAGTGGGGAGTAGTGGTAAAAAGGAAGGCCGGGATCAAGTCTCTGGATTGGAAAACAGAGCTTAGTAAGACAGTGCTTTCAAAGCTACAAGGAATAAAATCATGCAGGCCCACTCTGGGAATGGGACATTCATATGCTACTTTTGATAAAAAACAAACAAACAAACAAACAAACAAACAAAAACACCCATTTTCCTTCATAGACTGATTACCAGCAACTACCATGTGCTCCTTGTTGGCGAAGTAACTATAAACCAACTAGTCCACCACTAGTGTGTACCACCACTCTTCCCTGGAGCATCAGAGCAGCTGCTGGTCTGTCAACCACAGCCTTATCTCTAACAGTTTCATCAGTCACCCTGCTCTTCTTCAGTTGCTGGTAAACTTGGTACATATTTTAAATGACGCATGTTCTGTCCTTGGTGTCTGTGTTTAAATGCATTAAAACTGACTAAACAAAGGGAATCCTCTTCCTTCCTCTGTGAGTTATAGAGATTGTGGCATTTAGATTTCAAGAGAAAAAAATCCAAAGCCTTCCTTACACTGTAGAGGAGCAGGGTGATGACTAGGGGGAGCGTAGGCCTTCCAAGACTGATGGTCACGTGGTGACACAGAGTCTGTGACAGTCCTGGGGGTGGGAGGATGGGGAGTTGTGTGCATGTGACACAGAAGGGCAAGTGCTTACTGGCAAAAATAAATACTCTTCAAAATAAATAAAACAAACTGCTGCCCTCACTGCCCTCACCCCACCACTTGCTCACCTTGATTCAGGAAGTTAATTGCTTTCATGCAAGCATACTCCTCATTGCTGACCTTTAGCTGATGGAACTTGTGATATAGGTAGATGAGCCGCTCAATCACCTCCATCCCTTCATCACTAAATCTGGGGAACAAATACAGGTTTTTACCTAGGGTACCGATACCAGCAAAGGCCAGGAAGGCAGACAGAGATTATCTACGATGGGAAGGAAACTACAGGGAAATCCATGCTCTGCTGGGCAGCCAGTGTAGATTATGCAACTGTTTCCAGGGTCCTGGAGTCAAGTAAAACCAGGTTCAAATCCAACTGCACCACACACAGCTCTGAGAGTCTAGGAAGGTTATTGGATCCCTGCAAGCTTTGAGATCTCCCTCTGCAAAATGTTTGCCTGTTTATGGGGTAGAAACCAAGAAGAATGTGACAATATTAAGATTCAGCTTTTGTGGAGATGCAGTCTGCAGTATCAATGACAGCTGCCATGGTGACTCTATGAGAGCCTCAGCCACAGTGTGGAAAACGCTTCAGTTATATTTGTTTAGGTTCACTGTTTCTAGCAAGGCTAAGATTATATACAATAAAATAATCTTACTGGTATCCCTGACTTCAGTCCAAAGGGGGAGGAAACACTTGCTGAGTCTTTACACCACAGGAGCCTTTGTGCCGGGCACCTTCTGTTCATTCTCAACCCTATCAGCTAGGTGAAACAATCACTATCAACACAAGATGAGAAACTTAGGTTCAACACCGAGAGGAGACTGGCTCACCAACACACAGCTAGTTGGTGGTGGGATGAGAACCTGGAGCCTGAACTAGCTTCCCGAGGCTCTTCCAGTGTCTAAGGTGGTCTACTTAGGCAAAACAGACAGGCTTCATCAACTATTTACATTAACTTCTTTTTACCTGATGAATTCTTACATGACCCCAGGTACAAAGGTAATAAAATAGGTATACAAATCTAACACTAATAATAAACCACAGTGAAATTCATCTTATTTCTACTCTTTTTATGTGTTGGTGTATGTGGCATGTGTGTGTGCACATGTTCATGTCTGTATATAAGGGGTATATAAAGCAGCAAAGGTTGACACTGGGTGTCTTTCACTATTTCACCTTATCTTTGGGGAATAACAGTCGCTAACTGAATTTGAACCTCACCACTTTGGCTAGAATGGCTGGCCAGCAAGCTCTAAGGATCTGCCTGTCTCTGTTCCCATTCAGTGCTGTAGTTACAGACATTCACAGATTTTTACATGGGTGTAGGTACCTGAACTTGGGGGTCCTCATTCTTGCATAGCAAGGATTTACCTACTAAGTCATCTCCCCAGTCCCAGATTCTTCGGCATGTAATTTTACCATTTACAAAAGATAAAATCAAATTTGCAGACTAATGAGATGGATATGCTTGTTATTTTTCCATGAAGAATTAAGTGGCATCCGAGTATTTGACACTGTAGAACATACAGCAAAGTTTTTTTCAGAGCTATTTATTTATTTATTTTGAGTCAAAGTCTCACCATATATCCCTAGCTGGCCTAGAACTCACTAAATAAAACAGGCTGGTCTCAAACTCAGAGATCTGATTGTTTCTGCCTCCTGAGTGCAGGATTAAATGAGTGTTCCACCACATCTGGCTTAATTGATATTTTGATCTTATAACCATCAATGGTTTAGTATGAAATGGCAGGGTTATTTCAGAAATTGTTGAAAATTCTGTCCTAATCCCAAGTCAAATTCATTCAACAATTTTTTGAAATTAAATTCAAGGCAGAAACTCAAACAGCAAACTTTGTTTCTTTAAAAATAGGGTCTCATCGCCGGGCGGTGGTGGCGCACGCCTTTAATCCCAGCACTCGGGAGGCAGAGCCAGGCGGATCTCTGTGAGTTCGAGGCCAGCCTGGGCTACCAAGTGAGTTCCAGGAGAGGCGCAAAGCTACACAGAGAAACCCTGTCTCGAAAAACCAAAAAAAAAAAAAAAAAAAAAAATAGGGTCTCATGTAGCCCAAGCTGGCTTTGAACTCACCATGCAGTTGAGATAGCTTTCAATTCTCCTGACTCTATCTCCCAAATGCTAAAGTTTCAAGACATGTACCACTACATCTGGCTAAAATAAAACTTGATATAATCAAAAAATATGTAATTTGACACTTAAAATAATGAGGATTGATGGTACCCAAAGTTTTTGTTTGTTTCCCATAAGTAAACCATCATGTCTCCATAACAGCAAAAACTGCAGTGACATGGGACCTGAGTGAGGTACCTCAGGCATGTGTGGTATGAGGGCATGCACAATTCAAGTGAGCTTCCAAAACCGAGGTGGCACAGAAGCTCTGATCAACACGGCCAAGTGCTGCCGAGATACCACAGATTCCCAAGAAGACACTGTAGATACCACAGGGCGTTTGATTTTGAATTAATGTTTGCTTGTTGAAGTTTAGAAATCTTTTAGTACTGCCACTCTTCACTTCAGTCACACAGTGTCGTTCATGGTTGTGATACATAGTTTAGGAAGCTGAGCCCCAGCAGAAAGAACTCAAATCTGGCCACAATTTCTACCTTAGGGCTAGAAAATGAGAACTCTGGAGGTAGAACATGTTTTAAGTAAAGAGCCCCTCAGTTAGCTGTGTGAGCTCCTGTGAGTTGTGATGGCTAATTCAAGTTCCTCATTGTTCTAACCCAATGGCTTTTATGACTTTATTAATACTTTCCCAGACTAATAGACAAATTCATATTGAGTTTGTTTAACACCCCTACCAACCATTCTACCCCATGTTGAGTGCTGGGCACTTTTCAGTATTTTATATATATATATCCTTACCCTCCTAATTAAAAAAAAAAGTTACTAATTAAAATCTCCTTTGTTCATGTGTGGCAAGGCTCACAGTGGCCACTGACTGTGCTCCTGACATAAAGGGCCTTTCACGGGCATTATTTTCCTGACAACTTGGGAGATGAACCATATACCTCTTTATTAGGATGAGGAAGAAGAAAGAGGTGACTCTCTCAAAGTTATACAGTAAGAAAGAGGTAGGGCTTTTGAATTCCAAGCATAGGGGCTTTCCCAGGGCTGTACTACCTACCCTGTCAAATTCTTAAGTACGACCTGAAAAAGTCTGCCACATGCTAACATGTGAAACCTTAAGAGCTTTGTGTTCCCACAGCAGCTCATTCTGGGGCCTGGCCCTAGGAGGTGCTGGGTACTTCTGTGCCGCTTGCACGATGAGTCTTGGAGGAAGCAGCGTGCCTAGGGGTGAAGACCACTCCTCATAAAAGTACTTGCTGGCTACTTAAGTTGTTGAGAAAGAAAGGGCCTCAATGACAATTCCCTGTAGTATCTGCTTGGAGGAGTAGGGCGGGGATAAGTTGAGGTGGGGTATAACAAATAAGGCAGGGAGAATAGTGCTGACATCTGTCTGGTGGTTGAGCAATGCAGCAAGCACAAATAATACTCAGTCCCTTAATCAGCAGCCCCTTGCCCCAGAGCTCACTATGGCATGGCAGGACCTGCAGGTGTGTGGCTATCATCCAGACCCTGACCTGGCAGCACCAAATCTGCTCCTGGCTGTCTTGGCCTGGGGGACACAAAGGAGCTCTCAAGTGCTCAGGCCTGTACATATGCCCAAGCTCTGCCCTTTCTTTTGGGGACAGCACACCCCTTCTCCAAATATCTTACAAAAAGCAGCCATCGTAGTCCCTTGGCAGTGGTCCCCACTCATTCTCCACAGCTTAACTGAAAAGCTTTCCTCCACACCCGCATCCCACCCTTTGATAAACAAAGCTGGTCTCTGTTCTACAGGCCTGCTTTCTCCTCCAGCCATTCCTCCTCCACATCTGCCCACTCCACAGTTCTGACACCCCTGTATTCCCTGTCTACAAATTATCAGCATTCAAAGCCATAAAGTTGGACAAACACACCCATTCTTCTCTTAAGTTCCTATCACACAAACATTCTAGGACAAGGAAAACATTCCTGCCAGGATCTCCCAAACCACTGGACCATTCAGTCAGCAATTGAAGCTGACACTATATAAGTTATACGCTATTAAGGGGCAGAGAGGAACAGCTCTCTTTCCCATTCATCTAAATGTACCCTCCTGAGCAGCTCATTAGCTACAGTCTTTAAGGAACTGTCACCCTCACATCCACATACAAGTCAGATTACAGCTCCAGGATACATTCCAGAAAGTCACTCCTTCTAAGAATCTGGTATAAAGTAATGGTGGAGAGCTCTGGCTTAGGAGCACAACAGACCTATGTAGGAATCTTAGCTCCATTTTTTCTAGCTTTGTAGCACTGAATTTTCATCTCTCTGAAATTCAAGGTACTTATATCTAAGTCTCAAAGGATGGCAGCAAATACTCAACAGTAATGTAAGTAAAACAATGATAAAAACTGGTACAACAAATCCTGTTGATCATTATACATTTATAGTATTACTATCATTGGCATTTTCCTGTAATAAGGAGCAAAAAGTCTATGTTTCCCGGGCCTGAGAACTAGTCAAAAGTGCCCATTAAAGTCCATCTAACTCAAAGCATCTTTTCCAGGGAGTGAAAGGGTGTTGATTAGGGCTGGGAGCAGTCCCCAGCTGGTGCTACAATCTGCTTTAAATCACATTTGTCCACCTCTGTGTTTGATAACAGCCTGATGAGGAGTAAGCACCATAAACTTGATTCAGTATTGAGAAGAGAAAAGGAGCTAGTCGTGCATCATCTGGGAAGACTTTTCCTGACAGCGGGCACTCGCACTCAGGAGCTGTGAAGAAGCAAAGGCTGCCTGGGGGAGTGGGAGTAGTACAGAAAAGTAAGAAAGAGCTATGGCCAATTAGACTGTACATCCTGAGCTTCTAGCAGAGAGAGGATGCTTGGCAGTGATTAACCTAACTCCAGAGGTTCAGCTTCCAGATCTTATGACCTACATGCGACTGTAACTTCATAGACACCCAAGCCAAACTTATCTCCCATCATGTTCTTCCTGGCTAAAATAACCTGTGCCCTCCTGCCCAGCAACTACCCACAACTTTCCTTGCTCACAGGAAGTCCAGGTGACTCCATGTCTTTGACACTGCTAGCTTGGTGTTGCCTTCTCTTCCCTATCATTGCTCTGTCATCCAGGCCTTCTTTTCCTTTCCACAGAAACAGAGCAGCCTCCTGCTCAACAATGCTCTAGTCCTGACCACACCAGACAGCCACAGAACGCTTTCTCAAAAGTAAATCGCCCAAGTAATTCCTGTGATGCAATGCTACTAGCAAATCAAATCCAAAGTCTTCTTCCTCTTTTTGTTTTTTAAGGCAGGGTCTCACCAGGTACCCCGGGCTATCCGGGAACTTGCTCTGTAGATCAGGCTAGCATTGAACTTAGAGATTCTCCTGCCTCTGGCCACCCAGTTCTGGGACTGGACCACCATGCCCAGCTCTTCTAGGGTCTCTCTGTGTAGCCCTGAAACTCGTTCTGTAGACCAGGTTGGCCTCTCCTGCCTTCATCTTGCTCTCTATACCATACTTAGAAAATTCTCATTTTAAAATGCAGCTCAAATGTCTGTTTTTGTGGTAAGCCAAGAATGCAAGTACATCCTTCATTTCTTAGTCTGGGTTTGAATAGTCCTTATATTCTCCTCAATCTCCTTCAATATGACCTTACATTGAGATTGTATCTGTTACTATAAAATGAGAATTGGGACTCTCAGAGTCAGAAACCATGTCTAAGTTGGTGTGGTAGTACATAGCTATTACTGAAGCTACTCAGAAGACCAAAGCAGGAGGATTCTAAGTCTGAGGCCTGCCTGGGAAACTTAGTGAGATCTTATCTCAAAATAAATGAGAAATGGTTAGGGATGTTATCTCAATGGTACAGTACTTACATAGCATGTGTAAGTAAGGCCTTGGGTTTAAATCTCTGGAATCAGAAAGGAAGGGAGAGAGGGTTTGTGTTCCGAGAATCCTTGCCCCTGACAACTCCTAACACAGTCAGTGCTGAAGAGGGCCTGGAAAACCTTCCAAGCTGTAGGGAGCAGAACCTAAAGGCTGATTCCACTGCAGCTATAGGTAGTCCATACCAGGAAGAGCTAGTAGTTCCCAGAAAAACAGGGGGGCTGGGCTCCCTGAGGCCAAATCTACAAACCAACAATATCCAAATAGCCCTTCAATCCAAAGTTAGGAGCTGGAGACAGAAATTTGATGGAAACAATGAATTAGAGGCTCTAGACAAGGGGTTATTAGGTCATCTGTAAAATTAGACAGCTCTGTTTATAGGACAAAATGTCAGGTAGGTACACCCTGAAGCCAGTAAGCAAGGAAATGCTAGAAAAGCAAGAGAGAGTCAGCTCCCAGACCCCCACTCAGCTGTGCACAAAGCTCCTGAAGGACTTGAAGCTTTGCTCCCCGCTTAAGTGTTGGCCTTGTTTTTATGTAACGCACAGGATGGTGGAACTCATGTGTCCCAGTCCCATGAAGAGAATTATGGGAGTTGGTACCCTATCTCCTCTGTATCTAAATAAATATCCTTGTTCTGGGTACCTTTAAATTGTATGACTTCTATTATTTAAACTGTCCAAAAAAGGTGGTTTATTGAAATGTCTATTTAAATGTGAATTGAGCTATGTAAGACATTCCATATGAATAAATTAATAAACCACAAAAGTTATTGAAACAGATACATGTCTTAATTTGGGGGTCAGAAATTAAGGGTCCCATTTTTCCTAGGTCTTCAAAAAAAGTGACTAAAATAGTGCATGGATAAATCATAGAAGCAGCAGGGAGGAAAAAGGCTGTTCTAGAGGAGGTTAGAGGACGCTGGTTAGCCAGGGGGGAAACCTTATGGCAAAGAACAGCTAGGAGACCTGCATGGATCAGTGCTATGCTCTCACCCCACCTCAGGTACCACAAAAAAGTCTAAACAGTCAGGTAGAATACAAAGGGTGGGGATGGGGAGTTATGGGATAAGCTCAAGACTAGGCTCTAGATTAAAATCCAAAACCCTTAAGGGCCAGGTTCTCTGAACTTCAACCTTGTCATCTATAAACAAGCACAATGGAGACTATGCTACTATAAGTGTAAGAAAGAATCAGTAATATAAAGCTGCCTACAAATAATACCAAGGTGACTTCCAAGTCCAGAGTCCCTTCCCTTGGGGGTAGAGTTTAGGTTTTTGTTTTTCTCAGATATATCATCCCACTAATGTAGACATAACATTAAAGCAACAGCTTAGCACTGCCAATCTGACTGTATGACACTTACTCATCATCCCTGCCTTGTTGGAGAGGTAACTACTCTATTCACTTAGAACCTGTGATTTGGCTGATGACAGGGTAGTATTAAAATAAAGGTCTGTGGGATTCAATGTTCCCCCTTTGGAGACTAGGTAGCCTTGCCTCACAGTGAGGATGATGGCTTGGTTGCTCAGGATGTCCTCCCCAATCAGCAGCTCTCACCTGTGTAGTTCTTCATCAGAGGGTGAGTACTTGGCAGTGACATCAGCCAGCTCCCCAAAGATTTGTTTGCTATAAACTGTGAGGGAAGAGAGCAGAATCAACTCCTGCCATGTAGAGCTCAAGAGGCACGTGTAATCCTTGATTGAGAGCTCGCAGAAGAAAGGCAGCTTCTTGATCCAGGCAATCTGCCTGAAGAGCAACTCGTCGGCCAGGCGGCAAAGCAAAGCAAATAGCTCTGCCTGTGTCACAGCATATCTGGAGATAGGGACAGGATAGAGTCACTTTCATCAGCCAGAGAGTGAGGGTAGGAGCAAAGGAGGAGGGTATTCCTTGAGGGCACAGTATGTCCTTGGCATGGATTTCCAGTTTCACTCAACTTCTTATAAAGAGGTAGGGCTGGGACCAGCAAAAAGCTGGGGTGGGGTTGGGGAGCAGTGAGATGATTTGCTGAGAAGAGGTTGCTGAGGAGAAAGGAGGTTTAGAAACTTCTGGAATTATAAGGGAACAACACTCTTAATGTTGGTGTTCTCTTATGTTTCATGTCCTAGAAGAAATTCTTACTCATTCCCACTCTAGTTTTGGTAATGAAAACTCTAATGGGGTGGGTCTGGAGCATATCCAGTATAAGGAACAACAACTACACATGCAAGAAAACAAAAACAAAAACAAAACCCAAAGCCAAACATGACCAAGGGCCAAACTGCTGAAGAGAACAGAGGCATTCAAAAGCCTTTTCCGTCCTCACTGTGCCCCCTGGTGGTGAATAGTTCAGGAACCAGAGTTGCTCAGCCTTTCCAATAAGCTATTTCTCAGTTATAGTCCACAGGGGCCTCTGAGTCTCAGCTTTATTCCTCTCACAGTCCCTGGTCCCCTTGTCATCCTCTTCCTCATACCCTACAAAAAAGCTCTGGGGGATACTTTCTGTATGTGTTTTAGTCTACTCTCCTGAAACTGAAGCCTAGCTGAGGATCTCAGGGAGGCCTGAGATTAAAGACTATAGCAACCCATGTTCTGTACCTAAGAAGTAATGGGTGCAAGAATGGGTGGCCCAGATGCTACATAACACCCAAATAGAGTCAAATGCAGACTGAGGTATCTTTTCCACCCATTCAGGCCTGTACCAAAGGCGCTAGTCACATGCCATAGGTTACTCATGGGCATGTTGGCTAGGGATATAGACAGGTCACAACCAATTAGGGCTTGAATGATTTAAAAACCTTAGGCCCGATGTAGAGCTTATTTCTGACACAAAAGCAATCATTTCAGGACTTGGTTTACCTAGAACCACAAAGAAATGAAGGCCCTTCAATCCTAATTTCATAGGAACTGAAAAGTAACCTGAACTCTCTGATAATATATGCTTAAGGAAACATAAGGGACCAACACCTTCAGTGACAAAGCTGGGGATACAATTGGTGCATGGTAGGGACACTTTGAGACTTCGAGGGGCAAAGCAGGGCAGAATTCACTCACCCATCTTCAATCAACATGGGTGTGCCCAACGGCTCCAGGTCTTCGGCTGACATCAGCTGGTGAATCAGGCTGTAGGACTGAGGGTCCAGGCTTCGAGCTTGTGGGGGCAGAAGTGGTGAGTGACCAGAATAGCTAAAAAGGTGTGGTATGTATTGATAATGTGGAGGCACTGACATCCCCATGTACTGATCCCTGAATGTCATGAATCCATTTAGTTCCACAGACCTACTGGAGAGAAAAACTTCACATCAGGAAAAGCCATGGCAGGTTGAGTACCTGCTCAAAGGAATAAGTCAGGAGATGGCTGAGGTGTTCTCTGGTCATGAAGTCTGTGACTAATCAATTGATGGGACAAAATTAAAGGTTACATGCATGTCTACCCTATTACATTCCATCCATGAGACAAGGACTCTGTGTGGGTACAGAAACATGGGGCTCACCATTGGTGAACTCAGTGACAGCAGAATAGGAGATATAAATAAATATGGATTAGATGGCATCTTTGTACTTTGTACCTCGCTCATGCTAGGCAGGTGCTATGCCACTGTGCTATATCCTAGTGCTCTTCTATCTTCTAACATTATATTTGGAGACCCTGTCTCTAAGGCTAGTTGCCAGGGCTAACCTTGATTTCACTGTGTAGCCCCAGCAGGTCTTGAAGTTGTGATTCTCCTGCCTCATCCTCCTGAATAGTTGGGACAGTAGGTTTTCACCTCCAAGCCCAGCTTGGAAGAGTTTTTTTTTTTTTTAAGTGTAAGTCCCATTTAATTTTTCCAATGTGTTTTATCTTCTGTCTTTAAGAAGCCACCTCTTTACATCTTTACATGGGCTTTGGTGGAGGTCATGGTGCAGCACCAGCAGGTCTAAATCGTGGTGGGGTGTTTGGTCTTTGCAGGTTTCACGGGATCAATTCCTTACTACCTTGCTATGAATAGCACAGCTCACGTAGTAATGCAGCTTGACATAGAGTTTGGGAAGCACATAAGCGTCGAAGACATTTGCTTCGGATATGTCCCTGACAGCAGCGGCCTCTACAGTGTTCCGAATGACGAACTTCTTAATGGCACAAACCAGGCACAGTTCGTGCAGTGAATTGGCTGCACATGGCCTTTTTGGCACGACTGTTGTTACCTCTTTTTTTGGTCATCTTGGAGCCAAGAGCCAAAAAAGTAGAAGAGTTTTTAATATATACCAGTAGACTATTGTGACAAAAATGTGTGTTTACATTGTTGTTTTAACTATTAGGAAAACAAGGGCACAGGACAAGCTAAGTGGACTTAATTAGTCCAAAAACCAAATCCAGTACCTAGAATGGAATATAGCTGAGGTCCCTAACTACTAAAAAGAAAGAGTGAGGGAACAGCTGAATGGGAGAAAAAGCTCTAAATGAGTCTAAAGAGGAAGGCAGGTTCTTCCCTGTTTCCTCGCTTTTGGAGAAACCTAACCATCTTCTCAATCTATTTATTTAGATCTGTACTTCAGAATAAGAGTGCATGAGTGAGTGAATTTCATGACGTACATGTGAAGTGAGAGGACAACTACTGGGAGTTCTCTTCTTCCACCATGTGTGCCCTGGGTTATCTTGGGTAGTCAGGGTTGGCAGCAGGTGCCTTTACCTGATGAACCATCTTACCAGCCCTTTGTTAATTAACATTTTGAAAATCATTTAGCTTTTCCTAGATGTATCTTTTAGATACATCTAAACCTAGAGTTTAGCAAACTACAGCCTAAAGGATCTATTTTTGGTAAATTTAAGTTTTATTGAAACAAAGCCACACTCACTGCTTTACATATGTTGTGTGCTGCTTTTGAGCCACTAAGGCAGAGTTGGGGAGCTGGCACCCAGGCCAGGCTTAGAAAGTCTAAAATAGTTACTATATTAAATTTTTGTTTATTTGTAGGCAGGCTCTCTATGCAGCACTGCCTGTCCCGGAAAGACATTTTTAAGAGAATTTCTTTCTTTTATCATTTGCATATATGATTGTACACATGTGTATAGGCCTGAGGTTGATGTCAAGTATTTTTCTCAATGGCTCTCCACCTTATGCTTTTGAGACAGGGTGTCTAACAGGACCTGGAGCATACCAATTCAGCTTAAATAGCTGGCCAGTGAGCCTCAGTGGCCACAGTCTCCCTAGTGCTAGGAGGAGACAAAGTCTATATATTCCTAACTGCATCTGGCTTTTATGTGGGTGCTGGGGATCGAACTTGGGGCCTCATAAATGCAGAGCAAACACTTTACTGACTGAGCCATCTCCACAGACCTTACTTTGTGACATTTTATTTTTTTTAAATATTTATTTATTTATGTATATGAGTGCTCTGTCTGCATGTTTGCCTGCATGTCAGAAGAGGTCATCAGATCCCATTACAGATGGTTGTGAGCCACCATGTGGGTGCTGGGAATTGAATTCAGGACCTGTGGAAGAGCAGCCAGTGCTCTTAACTGCTGAGCCATCTCTCCAGCCCCCTACTATGTGCCATTTCAAGAAAATATTTGTTAATTCTTGTCCTATATGAAAGATTTCTGGGGTGAGAAGCCCTTCCATTGTAGCTGAAAGCTATTAGCTAACTTAAGAAAGCATGATTGCCTCAAGAGGTTTTAATCTTGAATTCCCCAATAACATTGACTCTGGTGAGTCAGAAAAACTGTTCACTCAATTCTGCAGTCAGTGTATTGAAACGTTATTCTGCTAAATGAAGCCTATGTGGGCATGCATAGAAGAGGCACTTATCAGTCTGTAAAAGAGACTGATGTTTTGTTTTAGTCTTGGAAAAAGACTGGGCTTGGAAAGCTGGCCTTGTACCATCCTGGTCCCCAAGAGCCTGAGGGACCAAGGGCACGAAGGCTGAGACAGCCTGGTAGACGAGCACTCTACCAGAGGTTATTTGGAGGGCTACTCACTGGGTGGTCCCTAGGTGATGATATTGTGTTTGCCTTTAGCTCACCTGGATGACAGTGTGGAGCCTGGTGAGGGCTGGTTGCTCTCTGAAGCCCTGTTCCCAGGGGAACTGTGGTCGCTGTCACCATGGTTGCCCCAGTGATTGGCTTCTTCCTCAAACTCCTGTCCAGACATGATTCTTTCAATCTCTTCTTCTGATATCTTTGACAAGAAATGGACACATATCAGATCTGGTACTGTAGATAGCTCCTGTTCTGTCTGTAGGACTCGAGTTTACAGTCCAGGTCTCTCATCCTCTAAGGACTTCTTTGGCTATGCCCAGTATATCTGGACACAGTCTTTGGACACTTGCCTTCTAGAACCATGACTTTCCCCTTGCCCATTTACTCTACCTTCAAGCCACAAAGTTTATTCCTCAACTCTTTGAGTCTTCACTTTCCTAACTAAAACTCCATTCTTCAATGATAATCTCCTACTTGCTCTGCCCAATAATATTATTTCCTTTGTAAAATTATTTACTATTATTTACTATTCATAATTATATAGATTCTGAGAAAGGAAGGGCAGCATCGTGGTTAATGGTATAAATTCTGGAAGCAGACCACCTTTTTTTAAATCCAGAGTATACCACTTCTAACACAAACTTGGCAAAGTTACTCAACTATCTCAAGTGAAGTACCTCAAAATCCCTACCTCACTGGATTCTTGTGAGGATTAATCAAATTAAATACTTAGAAAGGGGCCTAGCAAGAATAACAATTACAGAAGCACTGAGAGTTACAATACCATCATCTTGGGTTGATTTGTTTGAGACAGGGTTTTGCTACAGTGTCCAGGCTAGTCTGAAATTCCTAGGTTCAAGCAGTCCTTCTGCTTCAGTCTTCCGAGACTATAGGTGTGTGTCACCAAACTGGGTTGTCAGAACGCAGTTACAGAACACTTATAGTAACATATCATTAAAACATCCTCTGTAGCCAGGCGGTGATGGCGCATGCCTTTATTCCTAGCACTTGGGAGGTAGAGGCAGGCGAATCTCTGTGAGTTCGAGGCCAGCCTGGTCTACAGAGCAAGTTCCAGGACAGGCACCAAAGCTACACAGAGAAATCCTGTTTAAAACAAACAAACAAACAAACAAACAAACAAACAAGCAAACAAACAATCCTCTATAATAGCTAAGACCACAACAGGACCTAAAAAAGAAGTGCAGAATAAATGGATATTGAGTAAGTGGTGTTCATTTGTTAAGGACTGACATGTACTTTCTTTCACATGGATTTTTTTTTAAAAGAAAGGTATCACCTAGTCTATTAAATAAAACTTGAAAAAAAAAATCACAGCTCATATAAGTCATACTGTATGTACCTAGACATGGTCAGGGTATTAGGAAGAAACAGAAATATGCCAGCACTCACTCCAGTACTCTATAGAGAACAAATAATCTTCTGTAAGTTTCTAACCTAGGGCTGAGGCCTAACTGGTCACAGTCAACACAGAGCAGAGTAAGTGCTAAGGAGGAGGGGCCAGGGAAATTTTTACATGTTGTTTCTATGGAAACCACAAAGGCCATTTTCTCCCAGGCCTGTTTGGCTCAAACCTGAATATGTATTTGCTTTATTGGCCTCTAAGAAAACCCTGAACTGTCATGGTCATTTCAGAATGCAACAGAAGAGCAGTGAGATGGCTCAGCAGGGAAATGTGCCTGACATGCCAGCCTGAGGACCTGAATTCAACCCCTGGAAGCCATGTAAAGGTGCAAGGAGAAAACAGACACCTCCAACAATGAACTGTGGCGCTCGTGTGCCTGCATACACACATTACATGTGAACATGCAAGGACAAACATGTACAAACATATACACAGTAATAATAAAGTCTTCTCTCATATATTATATCCTGACTGCAGTTTCCCCTCCCACCACTCCTCCCAGTAATAATAAAGTTGTTTTTTGGTTTTTCAACACAGGATTTCTCTGTGTAGCCCTGGCTGTCCTGGAACTCCCTCTACAGACCAGACTGGCCTTGAACTCACAGAGATCTGCCTACCTCTGCCTCCTGAGTGCTGGGATTAAAGGTGTGTGTCACCACAGCCCTGCATAATAAAGGTTTTTTTTTGTTTTGTTTTGTTTTTTTAAAGAAAAGAACTGAACATTAATGAGAATATGGGGCTGGGCAATAAGGATCAAACTAGTAGATAAACAAAGGAGTTGGTCTGAAATCGTTTGGTGTATACATTGAAATGGAGTAATTATTTTTTAAAATAAAGTCATATATACCTAAAAAATAAACTCCAGCTTTTCTCTTTAGGGTCTTTAGTACCCTGCAATCATTGCCACCTGAGTGACGGTGCTGACAGCAAGAATAGAGGTTGAAGTGCTGAGTGAAAAGAGCCAACACATGAAGGCAGTTTACTCCAGTTGGAATTTGTGACTGCTTTACTCTGTGGGCCCCATGGGACTACAGGCAATCACTGATACACTGATTACATAGAGGACAGAACTTGTTGGGGATGCTTAACCTAGGTTCTAATTTCATTTGTTATTTCCTAGCTAGAAGCTCCTGGGAGTCAAGTCCCTTGAGCTCTCTGTGCTTCAACTTCTCTGCCTGCAAACAGAGGCATATTACTCCTTGGTAGCTCATGGCTCTCCTGTCAGAGCCAGAGCAGAGAAGTATACAGATCAAAGTCAGACAGACTTGTGAGTTAACCCAAGATAAAGTTATAAAATACAGACACAGAACAGATGCTTCATAAATGGAAACTCCATCTCTCTTTCATTAAGACTAGCTAAACACACAGCTGGGTGGTGGTGGTACATGCCTTTAATTCCAGCACTCAGGAGATGGAAGCAGAGGCAGGCTGATGGATCGATGTGAGTTCGATGCCAGCCTGCAAATTGAGTTCCAGGACAGCCAGGACTGTTACACAGAGAAACTCTGTCTTGGGGTTTGGGGAGGGGGGAGAGATAACAATTTAGAACTTATAGATCATAACTCTAACACACCACCCATAAATAGGGGAAAACCAAAATAATATGCTTAGTATAAAAACTCAAACATAAGCTGGGCAGTGGTGGCACATGTCTTTAATCCCAGCACTCAGGAGGAAGAGGCAGAAGAATCTTTGAGTTAGAGGCCAGCCTGATCTACAGAGCAAGTCCCAGGACAGCCAGGACTACACAGAAAAACCCTGTCTCAAAAAAATACCCAAAACAACAACAACAAGAAAAGCCCTCAAACACAGTAGCAGGTAAATGGCCTTTCTAAGCATGGTGTCTTCAGTTCTGAAAGGAAGAGCTTACAGCTGTAGGGCCTGACTATCCCCTGGCAGAGCAGAAGTCTTACAGGGCACTAAGAATGCATTAGGTGCTGCTAGAGCAGTGGTTCTCAACCATTCTAATGCTGCAACCCTTTAATACAGTTCCTCATGTTGTGGTGACCTCCACCAAAAAGTTATTTGTTGCTACTTCATAACTGTAATTTTGCTACTCTTATGAACTGTAATATAAATATCTGTGTTTTCTTTCTTTCTTTCTTTTCTTTTCTTTTTTTTTTTTGGTGCCAAATATCTGTGTTTTCTGATACACAACCAACATAAACCGATTCTCTGTGTAATCCAGGCTGTCCTGGAACTCAGAGATCTGCCTGCCTCTGCCTCCTAAATGCTTGGATTAAAGGCATGTACCACCATCTCCCAGCTGAAAAGAAAATTTTAAGAAAACAATTCCACTTAGAGTAGCATAAAAAATGTAATAAAGGGGACTGGAGAGATGGCTCAGTGGTTAAGAGCACTGACTGCTCTTCCAGAGGACTCAGGTTCAATTCCCAGTATCCATATGGCAGCTAACCCTGCATGTATGTGTGAGGGTCTGTAACCCTCACACATACATGCAGGCAAAACACCAAGGCAAATAAAATTAAAAAAAATTTTTTTTAATTTTTTTTTTTTTTTTTTTTGTTTTGTTTTTCGAGACAGGGTTTCTCTGTGTAGCTTTGCGCCTTTCCTGGATCTCGCTCTGTAGAACAGGCTGGCCTCGAACTCACAGAGATCCGCCTGCCTCTGCCTCCCGAGTGCTGGGATTAAAGGCGTGCGCCACCACCGCCCGGCAAAAAGTAAAATTACTTAAAAAATGTAATCAAGTTAAGAGGATGAAAGACTTTTCACACAGTGAAAAGCATAAAACATTGCTCAAAGAAATTGGCACATACCTTTAATCCTAGCACTTGGAAGGCAGAGGCAGGTGGATCTCTGTGAGTTAGAGGACAGCCTGGTCTACAAAGTTCTAGGACAGCTAAGGCTATTACACAGAGAAACTCTGTTCCAACAAATAAAACAAACAAACAAACAACAACAACAAACAAACAAAGCAAAACAAAACACACAAACATGTTTGTGGACCAGAAGACTTAATACTGGAATTTAAAAACCATCTTCAAGTCCATATGAAACCAAGTAGCCAGGACAGTCTTAAGAAAGAAAAATGAAGCCGGGCGGTGGTGACGCAAGCCTTTAATCCCAGCACTCGGGAGGCAGAGACAGGCGGATCTCTGTGAGTTCGAGGGCAGCCTGGGCTACCAAGTGAGTTCCAGGAAAGGCACAAAACTACACAGAGAAACCCTGTCTCGAAAAACCAAAAAAAAAAAAAAAAAAAAAAAAAAAAAGAAAGAAAGAAAGAATAATGAAGCTGGAGCTGTATACTTCCTGGTTTTAAGGCACACTACAGAGCTGCAGTGATCAAAACACTGTGGTATAGACAGATAGCTCAATAGAATAGAAATACAAAGCCTACAACTCCACTCAGAAGTATATGGTCACACATGACCTTCAACAAAGGTGTACACACTACACAGTGGGGAGAGAATAATCCCTTCAACTAACAGCACCAGACAAATGGCAGTTTCATGTACACAGGCAAGAGTAGAGAAGGAAAAGGAGGCCCCTCTTGTCTTATACTACACACAGAAATCAACTCAAAATTTATTAAATGTAAGGTCTGAAACTGTAAAATTCCTGGAGGAAAATGGAAGAAAAGCCTTTTAAGGTCGGTCTTGGCAATGATTTCATGGATAAGACACCAAAAGTCCATGCAACATGAGCAAAACTAGAAAAGCAGGCTGTCCAAGCTCCTGTGCAGCAACAAACCACCAACCCTTCAAAGCACCCTGTGAAATCAGAGGGAAAGAGCTAGCATCTGGAAGAATGGTGAATTCAACATGTAGAGTTTTCAGTCATGCAAGATGAAAAATTGAGACAGCTTAGTGAGTAAAGTGTTTGCTATGCAAGTAAGTTAGAGGATCTGAGTTGAGATCCCCAGTACCCACATAAAAGCCAGGTGTGGTGATGTACACCGGTTATCTTAGTGCGGGGGTGGGGTGGGCAAAGACAGGTGTGTGCTTGGGGCTCTGGCCAGCCAGGCTAGAAGCAATAGCAAGCTTGAGGTTTAGTGAAACCTGTCTCAAAAATAAGACAGAGAAACAAATAAAGGCATCCTAAGACCAACCTCTGCCCTCCACAAGTGCCTACATGGCTGATAACACCCACTCCGCACATAACACACACACACACACACACACACTACACACACACACACACACACACACACACACACACACACATATCACATCACATGTTTTTAGTCCAGACTAAAATAAATTGTTTTTCAAGAGATTAATATCAGGAATAAAAATGTTTGATTAAATAAATCGAAACAGTAAAATTAGGAGTTTTATACACAAATATATACACCTTGATTTAGTACATGCTGTGTACCTACACAGCAGGAAATCTCTCATATATCAGTACATATCTCTGATTTCTTGTCTTTTAGTTGTAGATACTTAACTGGAGTAATCCTTTTAATTTGCTTATAAACTCTCTCTTAGCTCTCTTTTTGTCTTCTGATCTGTGCTGTCATTGTCCTACTTCAAACTATTACCTGAATCTCTTTGAATAGGCTTCTGCAAACCCATTTTAAACCATTTCCATTAGAATTTTTTTCTAAAATGCAAATCTGTATATGACACTCTATTTACAATTGTTTAGAGATTTCTTCTTGGTATACAGCAAAAATTTGTAAAACTGATCCTGGTTCTTCATGTGCTTGGAGATTAATTTGATTATAAAATAGATCCAATTCTCTAGATTCAGGAGGCCCTTCTGCTTGCTAGTAAGAACAGGAGATGTAGGTTGGCCCCATAGAGGCTGTTCTTAGGAGCCACAGCCAAAGACAGCTGAGGCCACTCTTTAGAGAACTGATGGAAATTCAAGGACTCTGCCTTATTTCTTACCATGCTATACATATAGTGCTCCAGCTCCACTGTATCTACCTCCTGTGAATTTTTTTTTAAAGGATTTGTTTTAGGTCATTCCAGTCTATTCTGTCTAGCTTTGATAAATGATGCTTAGCTTCTCAACACAGCTACTTCTTCCTTCCCCTTCAAGAATCAGTTCAAAAGCACCTTAAGGAACCTTTCCCCAAGTGTTTCCAGCCTCTAAAAAAAGAACAGAAGCATCCCTGGGCATCTTCTGCTAGCTATTATTCCTAATTTACTAATAAGAACATGAACAATGACCAGGTGGTGGTGGCACACGCCTTTAATCCCAGCACTGGGGAGACAGAGACAGGTAGATCTCTGTAAGTTCGAGGCCAGCCTGGTCTACAAATCAAGTTCCAGGACAGCTAGAGCTGTTACACAGAGAAACCCTGTCTCAAAAAATCAAAGGAATATAAACTGTTGATTTTTGCTGACTTCTGCCAGATTCAGTTACCCTATAACTTTAAGTGATTGGTCAAAGGGGAAAAAATAATTTTCTGGATTTTAGAACCAGAACTGAGTTTATTACCTGTGAAATTCTTAGGAAGGATAAGGGATAATAAGACGAGCTTTAGACTTTAAACATTCAGACTCTCTAAACACAGTTTGACAGGAGTGAAAGCCAAAATGACAGAAGACAGGCTCAAGGGAACAGCTACAGGAGCATTTGGAGCACCAAACTTCCAGAACACACTAAGAGTTGGGACAAGAACTCACCTGCACTGGCCCAATGCTCTTATTCCGGCCTCCAGGCATGCCATCTTCTCTGATAGCTAGAAGGAAACATAAGATAGTCAGAAGCACACTCATGGTCGTTTATAAATGAAAAGGAAAGTTATCTGTCCCAGCACTAGGGAGGCAGAGGCAGATTGATCTATGTGCATTTGAAGCCAGCCTGATCTACTACATAGTGAGTTACAGGACAGCCAGAGCCACAGAGTAAGACCCTGTTTCAACACACACACACACACACACACACACACACACACACACACACACACACACACACAAAACTTACCTGGCTAAAAGTATAATGTAGTAAGTGATAAAGCCAAGACTAAAACACAGGCCTTTCTGGACTCACAGTCTACTTTATTACTCTAAGTTGCCTATAAGCAGCAGATACTTTTGGGTTCCCAAGGTATTGGATGTATACTACATATACTGTACATATTCAAGATGTTCAACAAAAATGGGTCATTGTTAACAAGTCCCAGTTACAAATATCCCACCAGAAAAGGATATTTCTGAGGGACATTTTAGTGGGGGAATGAACACCTGTATTTTAAAATAAAATGTATTTTATTATTTGTCTAAGTTTAATTTAAAGGATCAGAACAGCACTACTATCCAGGTAGATGCCCAACTCTGGAGACCATGGCTTTTAGTTTTTATTAAATGCAATGTTCACCTCACTAGTTCTTCCTTACAACAGCAGGAAGTTGAAGCTGAAAGAACTTACTTAGAATTTCCTTATTTCATATGTATGAGTATCTCTCCTACATGTGTGTACCCATGCGTGACTGGTACCCACAAGTCAGAAGAGGGCATCGGATCTCAGTAACTAAGTTACAGACGGTTGTGATTCACCATGTGGGTCCTGGGAGCCACACAGATCCTCTGCAGGAGCAGCAAATGTTCTTAACCACCAAGCCATTTATCCAACCCCAAAATGATACTTAGGTTGGGGGATTGTTGTTATTGTTACTTAAAATTTTTAAATGTATCTTCATGTATATGGGTGTTTTGCCTGCATGTATGTCTGTGCACTATGTGTACCTGATGCCTAGGGAGGCCAGCAAAGGGTGCTGGATATCCTGGAACCAGAGTTTCAGAAAGCTGTAAATTGTCAAACCAGAATCCAACTCTGCACTTAGAAATCATGTTTCTATTGTTTTCTCCAATTTGTAACAACTCTTCAGTTTTTGTCTTTATGACCTTGACACTTTCCAATAGGACGTTACATTGTAGCTTCCTACAATGTTAGTTATTTTGAAAAAAATGATCTTTCAACTGGAGGTGGTGGTGTATGCCTTTAATCCCAGTACAATGGAGGCAGAGGCAGGCTGATGTCTATGAATTCTAGGCCAGCCTGGGCTACAGAGCTAGTGCTCCCCACCCCCGGTTTTTTTGAGACAGGGTTTCTCTGTGTAGCTTTAGAGCCTGTCCTGGAACTCACTCTGTCCACCAGGCTGGCCTTGAACTCACAGAGATCTGCCTGGCTCTGCCTCCAGAGTACTGGGATTAAAGGCGTGCGCCCCCACCACCTGGCCTAGAGCTAATTCTAAGACAACCAGAGCTACACAGAGAAACCCTGCTGGAAAAATCAAAAACAGAGAATTTTTAAAAAATTAAAAGAAAAAACTGTACTTCAGTATGGGCTCCTAAGTTTTCTCATGAGTATTCTGATAATGAACTACATGCTGATTCTTTCTCTCCTTTCCCCCACCCCCACCCTGGTCTCTGTCTCTCTCTCTCTCTCTCTCTCTTGGCCTCTTGGAATCTGTCTGTCTATCTCTCCCTAGACTCTCACCTCTGTGTGTGCCTGAGCTTTTCTGAGTATTATCTTACCAGGGTAAATCATGCTGGTATGTTTACTGGTGATACTAACTATGTTGGATAGTTTTACTTGACACAAGCTAAAGTCACAAGCTAAGAGTCACCCAGGTGCTACTGGTTTTGAAGGCATGAAGGAGTCATGGAGAACAGCTGAGGTTTGGCAATGTGAGAGGCCAGGAGAGGCCATTGGTAAAGGTTCAGCCTCAGTAGCACTTGAAGGCTCAAGGAATGAATGGGTCATGCAGAGAAGTTGAGGTTTGGCACCATGAAGAGGCTATTGGTGAAAGTGCAGCCCACTTGCAGCAGAAGATCCTAGCATTTGAGACCCCAGCACCCTGGGATGACACCAAGAACAGCAGCAGCAGAGGAGTGCAGCCTGCCCGAGCGTAGAAGACAAGCTGCATGTGCTGCAGAGGACAGAGCTGGAGAAGTGACCCATGCCCTTTGGAAGAGCCCAGAAGATCACGAGTGGATCCCAGACATTAGACCTTGTGCTATTTACACTCTTGGGGAGTTTGGTTTTGCTTTGATTTTATTGTGACTATGCCCTGGTTCTTCCCTCTTGAAATAAGAAAATATTTAACTTAATTTTGATTTTTATAGGTGCCCACAGCTTTAAGACTTTGAACTTTTAAAAGAGATGTTGGATTTTTAGAGATTGGATATTTTAGAGACTGAACTCTAATGTATTTCAAACTGTAAAGGCTGTGGGACTTTCAAAGTTATTTATGTTTTTTGTTTTGTTTTTCAGGACAGGGTTTCTTTGTGTAGCCCTGGCTGTCCTGGAACTAGTTCTGTAGACTGACCTCAAACAGAGATCCTCCTGCCTCTGCCTCCCTCCTTAGCAAGGAGTCCGACTGGGTGTTGTGGCGCTATTTATGTCTTTAATGTGAGAACTTGGGGAAGAATGAGAAAGGAAAGGTGTGTTTGTGTTTCAAGTTGACAACAGGTTAATTATTCTGGATAGACTTATGTCAGCTTTACACAAGCTAAAGTCATATGGAAGGAGGGAATCTCAATTGAAAATATGCCTCCATAGGATCAGGCTGGACGCAAACTTGTAGTATATATATATTTTTTAATAGTGATTGAGGGGGGAGAGCCCAGCTATGTGGATGGTGCCACACCCAGCTGATGGTCCTGGGTTCTGTAATAAAGTAGGCTGAGCAAGCCAGTAAGCAGCACTCCTCCATGGCCTCTGCATCAGCTCCTGCCTCCAGGTTCCTGCCCCAACTTCCTTCAATGATAAGCAGTGATATAGAAGTGTAAGCCAAATAAACCCTTTCCTCCCCAACTTACCTTTTAGTCATGGTGTTTCACTGCAGCACTAGAAACCCTGAGACACTAACTAAGACACTAACCTTCATCACATTCTAGCTGTGGAAGCAATTTCCCCTTTGTAGTTATTGTTTTTAAACTTCACTTTTTATTTTTTATTTTTATTTATTTATTTATTTATTTATTTATTTATTTATTTATTTATTTATTTATTTATTTATTTATTGAGCTGAGGATCGAACCCAGGGCCTTGAGCTTGCTAGGTAAGCACTCTAACACTGAGCTAAATCCCCAACCTAAACTTCACTTTTGTTTAAACCACTGTTCACTTCTGTTGGACTCGCTTCAGTGGATCTTGGCTGCTAGTCAGTACTGTGGTGTTGTGTATCTAACAGCAACTTGTATTTCCATCATGTCTTCTCCACTTACTCACTGGAATTCTTTCATAAGGAAAAAATGGTTACTTTTGTTTATTCAGTTAGTTATCAGTATAAGCATGTGCAGACTTATTTCTGAGCCTATAAACAAATCTAGAGATACTCTGTTACCAAGTTAGAACAACTGTGGTTACTGGGAGCTCTCAGGTTGAGTTTTGTGCCCTTTCACTGTGCCCTGTGTGCCCATTCACACATGTGCTTGCTCTTATTTATTTACTATGTGTATGTGGGTGCCTATGGAGGTCAGAAAAGGGCCTGGGATCTCCCAGAGATGGAGTTAAAGGTGATTGTGAGCTACCGGGCATGGGTGCTGGGATCCAGACTCTGGTCCTCTGCAATAGCAGTAAATGCTCTTAATCATTAAGTCATTTCCTCAGGCTCCCCACCCCATCATCTCTCTTATTTTCAAGTACTCTAAAACTCTCCATGTTTATGAATTCAACTAGTTCTCCATGGAGACTTTACTCTTTTTATTGACACTTAAAATTTCTGGGTGCTGAGTGTGTCTAGTCACATGTGTTTCTAAACTCTAACGACTACATGAATGTGTTTAGTAACACATGTAAGTCACATATATTCCACACATTATGTATCTATTGTCCATCCACCAGACATATTGATATATCTGACTCTGATATTCATTCTAACCTTTCCGGATCGATAACTTCTTTCTCAAATATAGTGTATTTATTTCCCTGTTCAACCACAGTATTCAATTAAAGTAGAGACAGAATTCCTAACATATAACCTTGAGAGAAACAATTTTACAAATCAAAGTGCTTTGCTTGTATACAACTGTTTTTTTCCTTTCCCTTACAATATGCAGTCAAAACACTGTTTTCCAAGGCCAGCTCCCTTCCTCCCTACCATCTCAGTGTGGTTATGTGATTCATTTTAATACCGCTAGATGAATTCATCACCTTGTTGACTCCATCTCTCCACCCCCTTCCTCCATATCAGTACATTTTGCTTGACTAGCTTTTTTATATCCAGTAAAATTCACTTTTTGTAATATACAGTTTTATTTTGACAAATAAATAAAATTATGCATTACCAGCTATGAAAGTTTCAGAGTATTTCTCACTTCCAAAAATATTATCATGGCAAGTCTAATTTAGTCCTGCTTTCTCAAGACCAACCAGAAGGTGGCAGGGTTTCCCTCAGCAGCCTTCACTAGGCTAATAGGGAAGCAAAACTGGCAACTCTCTCTGTCCCACATGTCACAGTCTCAGGGTTGTAGCATAGTTCCAGAGGAGTTATCAAACTCGGGTCCTTTGGAAGAGGAGCCAGTCCTCTCAAATGCTGAGCCATCTCTCCAGCCTCCATGAAAACATTTTTAAAAAGAGCTCTGTGTGCCTGGCATAGTGGTGTACACCTTTAATACCAGCACTTGGGAGGCAGATGCAGGTGGATTTCTATGAGCTCAAGACTGGCCTGGTCTACAGAGTGGTCTACACAGAGAAACCCTGTCTCAAGGAGGGGAGGGGGAGGAGGGAGGGAGAGAGAGAGAGAGAGAGAGAGAGAGAGAGAGAGAGAGAGAACGAGAACGCTCTGTAATCACAATCCTTAGGAGTCTGAGGCAGGAGGATTACATTGAGTTTGAGGCAAGCCTGAGCTACGGTATGAGACCTTGTCTCAAAAAAAACAATTTAAGAAATTTTAGGGCTGGCAAGATGGCTCTGCTGGCTAGTTTTCTGTTGTTGTTGTTTTTTCCAGGCAAACTTTATTAACATACAAATAAAAAATATCATCACATGCCAAAAAAAAAAAAAGTATGGTTCTTCTTCCCCAAAACAAATGAGTTTAGCTGGAAGCTCAGAATCCCACATGCCAAATGAATACCAGGATAATCAATCTGTGTATGTAGTCAAGAAGGTATCCCCTAACAGTGAGGCTTGAGGTATTGAGCACTCACAGGCCCTGGGCAATGAAGGAAGATGAGAAAAGTGGAATAAAAGCCAAAATCAGGGTGAGGGTAGAAAGACAGTACTGGAATGAAATTGGTAACTGGCAAGGGTTTCTGTAGAGACAAGTAATACTGGGGAAGAGAATATACTTCCAGGTAGAAAAACAAACTTGAGCACATGTGGAATGGTATAACATCTGGCCCTGAGACCCTGCTCTGGCCAGAGAAGCTACAAAGATAGGCAGGGGACAAACTTGACAACACTTCAAATGCCCTACCATAGCATTTGTTTAACATGCAGCAAACACACGGTATTCTAATATGCAAATAGCTATGCCACACAGGAGATTTGTGGAACAGTATACTGATTCTGTGATTAGACACAGCTCTGCTTAATAACACATTATAACTTCAATGTGGTTTTTTTTTTTTTTTTTTTTTCCTGAGATAGGGTTTCTCTGTGCAACAGTCCCGACTGTCCTGGAACTTGCTCTGTAGACCAGGCTGGCCTCGAACTCACTGAGATTCACCTGCCTCTGCCTCCCAAATGCTGGGATTAAAGGCATGCACCACCACTACCTGGCTTGTTGGGTTGTTTACAATGTCCTTGTATGTGTTGATATTAATATCCTGTTCTGTATGCTATGAGTGTTTTCCCATTCTGTTAGTTTTCGTTTTATAATATAAAACTTCTATGGATTTCTCCTTATCAATCTGTCATTTCCTTTTATTTTTAACATTTTTGAATTACATTTATTTATTTGTGTTGGGGAGTGGGGGACACATGCCCAGGTGCTTGTGTGGAGTCTGTCCTCTCCTTCCACCATGTGAGCCTGGGGAACAAACTCGGGTCATCAGGTGTGGTATCGAGAGTCATAATCTTACAGCTTGATTTTCTTGTTGTTTTGAGACAAAGTCTGATTATGAGACTCTGACTGGCCTGGAACTCACAGAGATCTGCAGCCTCTGCCTCCTGAATGCTGATATTGAAGGCACGCCCCTCCATACCCTATTAGTTGTTGTTGTCATTGTTTTTATTTTTTAAATTTATTTGTTTTATGTGTTTGCATAAATGTTTTGCCTGCATGCATGTATGTGCTTTACATCCATGCCTGGTGCCTTCCGAAGTCAGAAGGCATCAAATCCTGGGACTGGGGTTATAGGTGGTTGTGAGCTGCCATGTGCATGCTGGGAATCAAACTCAGATCCTGTGCAAGAGTAGCAAGTGCTGTTCGGCCCCATTTGTTAGGTTTTGAGGCTTTTTGTTCATTTGTTTTTTTTGAGACAGGGTCTCTCTGTGTAGCCCTGCCTGTCCTGGAATTTGCTCTGTAGACCAGGCTGGTCTCAACTCAGATATCCCCCTGCCTCAGACTCTGACTCTGCTGGGATTAAAAGCATGTTTCACCACACTCAGCTCATATGTTTGGTTTTTCATCATCATTTATAACTCCTTAAAAATAAATAATTAGAGGCTAGAGAGATATATGAGCACTGGTTGGTCTTGCAGAGGATCTGGGTTCAATTCTAGGTTTTATTCCCAGCACCCACATGGGAGCTCAAAAATGTCTGTAACTCCAGTTCCACAGGATCTGATGCCTTTTCTGAATTCCATGGGTTCCTATGTGTACAAGAACAGTACCTGTTCTCTCCAGGCCCCTTCTGGGCATTTCTAAAAACTTCCTAGTTGGCTTCCTCTACCAAACCCTTCAAAGCTCCCTAGAGTCAGTTTATTTATGTCATCTTAGGTTAACAGCTCCCAGAAAACTTCATAATAAATGTCAAACTCTTTACCTACCTACACACACTTCTAAATATTCCTAGTGTCTGAGTATGCCATGTTTCTAGTACACAAAACAACATCAAATCCTACTTCATGCCTTTCCAATTAAATTCCTGTCATTATTCCTTGAAAAAGTTTATAGACTATATAGTACATACAGAAAGAATAACCAAAAAGTATAATAGTTGCAGATGAGGGGATAGATGAAGGGTAGCAGAGAGAGTCCTAAGCACCAACTCACCCTTCCTGTTCATGCCCATCTGGAGACACTTGAGCAGGCGGCAGTACTGGCACCTGTTCCTCTGTTTCCGGGACATGACACAGTTCTTGTCACGACTGCACCGGTACACACGTTTGTTGCAAATACTCCTCTTGAAAAAACCTTTGCAGCCCTCACAGGAGATGATCCCATAGTGTAAGCCTGTAGCACGATCCCCACAGATTAGACAGGTTCGTTGTTCAGCTCGATCATCTGGAACAGAAACTGAACATGTACAAGTTAGAGAGCTGAGGAAACAATAGGGTTAAGCTCACAGCCTTAAACTCCTAACACCCAAAGTTCCTAAAACCTCCAGCCCTGCTCTGAGTAAATCAAAAATACCACTAACTCCAGGCTACTGACAAGTCCCTAAAGTGTCTTCTCCAACCTCATCTAACTGTTAGCCTTTGGGAAAGAGTTGCTTTTCTAACTCAATGCTAACAGTGTTTTTTTTGTTTTGTTTCAAGCTAATGCTTCTCTGTGTAGCCCTGGCTGTCCTGGAATTTGCTCTGTAGGCCAGGTTCGCCTCACACTCACAGAGATCCACCTGCATCTGCCTCCCAAGTGCTGGGATTAAAGGTGTGCACCATCACCGCCTCGCTTGTGTTCTTAATCTATTAACACAATGTTCTTCCTCTGTATTATTCCTAAAACACAGTGTGAAGAAAATGGGCAAACAAGCACTTTAAAGTCAAGGCCAAAGTTCATAGCAGATGTAGCTGAGGAAGAGCTGAGGTCCTAACGTTAACAGGCATCTGAAACCCTGAATGAGTATGTTAGCTACAAAAATATTAGTGGGTAAAATTGTCTGGGAAAAGAAAATATTCCGACTTAGAGAAACTGCATGTTTGTAGGGCTCAGACTTTAAACAGTAACTCATATAAGCAGGACCTGTAATACTTCAGGGGAATTTGCTGATTCCAAGTAGGGTAGAAAACAAATAAGATGAACTTCATTGTGCTATTCAAACTAATCAAAGGCCCTCTCAAAAGGAAACATGAGACAACAAGAAATTCTTTCACAAGTCTAAGATAAAGCAAGCTATGTATCAAAAAGAATACTGAGAACAATGGATAAAGCATTCCAAATACACAGCCAGACAGATGCCTTAGTAGTCTGATTACCTGAGTTCAATCTCCAGAACGCATGGTAGATGGATGAACCAACTACCAAATGTTGTTGTTCCTTCACTACCACAAGCACATGACCCTGTCACACACACTTTACAAAATAAACTTTAAAAATTTCAAATACAAGCCAGGCAGTGGTGGCGCACGCCTTTAATATTAGCACATTGGAGTTAGAGGCAGGATGATCTCTGTGAGTTCAAGGTCAGCCTGGTCTACAGAGCGAGTACCAGGAGAGCTAGCTACACAGAGAAACTCTGTCTCAAACAAATTTTTTTTTCTAAATATAAAAACTAGTATACTCATTAAGATTAAAGATGAAAAGCCTCATTAGTTATCACTGATAACTAATTTAGGTTGCCAGGACCTAAATTCACTATTTAAAACATAGATGAAATAAAGGAATGGGGAGTAGGATCAAGCATTTAAATAAAAATTACTAGAATCGTCACCTTATTCCATGCAACAACAACAAGAGAAGGGAGCAAGAATGGAAAAACAGTCCAGAAATTCTAAACTATTGAACTTCAAGCTTAGTAGAGAATTACTAGGATTTGGTGAACATTAGATATACATGGCGTGATGGGGAAACAACTCATCTGAGCGCCTACAGCATAGGGAAGGGGGAAAACACTTGGCTTACAAAGCTTTAGAACAGAGGCAGAACAAATGAGAACAAGACGTTAGCCCTCTGGGTTCAAAACTAGGCTCTGGTACTTGCTAGCTCTTTCCTGTGAAAGGAACTGGCAAATTCTGAAGTGTAAGTAGCTGCCAGCAAGACAAGTGAAGGTGGAGAAGGCGGTAGAGCCATAAAGAGTCACACCTTAAATGTGTTACTAGACAGCTCTCTTCAACTGGGGTTTACTGAGAAGAGTCATGCTCCTTTTTAAAGTACCCAAATAATTCGCCAAGTCAACCAAACTATCAAGAAGATGATAGGAAACTATGTGGAGATACAATAAGGTTATGTTACCCTAATGTGGAAAAGTCATGATCTGACCATAACCTTATTCTGCAAATTGTTTTGTTTTTTGATGCAAGAGGTCATTTAGCTGAGACTGGTTTTGAACTCCTGATTCTTTTGTCTCCATACTTAGTGCTGCAATTTTAAGTGTGCCACCGTGTCTAGCTGTTTCCTAAATGTTGCTGGTTACCTATGGTAGCCAGCAGTAAGTAAAACATTTGTCCCATAGTTACATGCAGCATGCAAGAGAGGGCATAGACAACTCAGAGCTTAGAGGTAGCAGCCATGCTAAAGAATGACTGGCGGTGGTGAAAAGAAAGCTTAAGACTTTAAGTAAATGTAACAAAACCACACATTTCTGGGAAAAAAATCCTACACGTGGCCTTTATACATGTAGTCATTAGTACAGTCTTGTAAACCTCAGAAACAATCTTAAGAACTTTTCTGTAGTCAGAAATTACTCTACTGTGAACAACAAATACCGTTACATTGAATGTGGCTTCCTCAAACTCCTACTAAAGACAGTTAAGAACAGATCCAGCTGGGCGGTGGTGGCACACGCTTTGAATCCCAGCACTCGGGAGGCAGAGTCAGGCGGATCTCTGTGAGTTCGAGGCCAGCCTGGTCTACAGAGCGAGATCCAGGACAGGCACCAAAACTACACAGAGAAACCCTGTGTTGAAGAAAAATAAAATAAAATAAAAGAAGCTGTATGTGAATTATTAAAAAAAAAAAAAAAAAGAACAGATCCAGAGCTCAGTCAATGTTTCCATGGACACACATTAATACGTGGATGCAGAAATGTCAAATTCAAATGAAACATTGAAAATGCTAAAACAGCTGAGGAAGTTGGCTGGAGGACTGTACCCAGCCACATTGTTTCAGAGCACGCCTAACACACACCTGCTTAGAGAGATGCATGTATTCATCTTCATGTCACTTAGGAGGAACAAAAAAGCAAGTGAGAACGAGGAGATTTAAAAGCAGATGTGGTCATTAATCTGACTGCAATTGTACAAAATTTTATCTTGTTTCATAAAAGTGGCAGGACCTTTCAGTTACATCACATCTAACCGAAGTTACTTTGAAGACAAATTTCAGAGAGTTAACAGTAACATCTGGTACAATGTCTACCATGGAAAAGGTATATTTTTGTTTTTAGTTCTGGAATTTGAATATAGGACCTCCCTTTCTTATTTGTTTGTTTGCTAAATTAGACAGGCAAGACTTGGATATATAATCCTCTAGCATTAACCTCCCATGTAGTTAAGATAAAATAATATACTACACCACCTGGTCTAGCTTGTATTCTTTTGAATAAATGTCTAAGTAGGTAAGCAGTATGACTTACTGAAGTGCTTTCAAAATTACAAGTTACAACATAAAGCATTGTAACTTTTTGAAAAAAAAAAAAGAAAATATCAGGTGGAAAATGATGAAAAAGACACCCAACATTGACTTCTTCCCCATCCCCCCTTTCTTTCAAGACAAGGTTTCTCTTTGTAGCTCTGGCTGTCCTGGCCTTGAGCTCAGAGATCCACTTATGTCTTCCTCCTAAGCGCTGGGATTAAAGGCAAGCGCCACCAACACCTGGATTCCAACACTGATTTCTGGCCTTCACATACACATGTACACACACAGACATATACACATACTACAAACAAGTATACACACATATACCACATACACACACATATGCAAAAGAAAACAGAATGTGTCACATGCAGTAAGTGTAAAATATCATTAAATATGTTTCAATTAAAGCGTGCACATTTTTGTATGCACACTGTTTGTGTATGCATAAGTAGGAGGCTACTACATCCCAATGAGCAATGTATCAAGTATTAAAACAGTTCAAATTATACCTGGTGTTTAAGAGTGAAGCTGGAGCCAGGCATGGTGGTACATGCCTTTAATCCCAGCACTTAGCAAGTGGAGATAGGTGGATTTTTGTGATTTCAAGGCCCACCTGGTCTATATGGGGAGTTCCAGGCCAACTAGGGCTATGTAGAGAGACTCTTAAAATAAACAAACTAAAATACTGGAGCTGGGTATATAGTGGTACATACCTATAATCTTGGTAGGTAACAGAAGTGTCTAGAGTATGACATCAGCCTGGACTACTTGAGAGTGCTCGTCTCAAAAACAAAATACAACACACATATACACACACAGACACACACACACACACACCACGATTTCCAACATGCTTCTTCCTAGCTTTGGAACCATGGGAAAAATGACTGACTTCTCTGACTCTCGCTCACTATAAAACTCTTATGCAACAACATAGGGGACTTGTAAAAAAATATTTGGCCAAGGGGTTGGAGCTATGGCTCAGTGGTTAAGAGCACTGTCTGCTCTTCCAGAGGACCCAGGTTCAATTGCCAGCACCCACATGGTGGTTCACAACCATCTGTATCTCTAGTTCCAGGGATCGAAAGTCCTTTCTGGCCTTCTCAGGCATCAGGCATGCACATGGAACACTTACAAATACAGGCAAAACACCCCCCATGATAATAATAATGATGACGATTGGCCAAAGAAGTCAGGAAGAAATACATACTGCAGATTTTCATTTTATTAAGTTTTTAAAAAGCAGGTAAAGAGAGTTATATAGTATGAAGAGAAGGGGTACTAGAACGCCGTCAGATTCTAGAAATGTTCTATTTCTTGACCTGGGTGGTACTTGCTTTATAATTTTTACAACTACATTGTATTTCATACACTTGTCTCCAAGTGTTCATATTTTACAATAAAAGAGTCAAAAGCAAAATATGAAATATTCCAGAAGGGGAAATAATCAACAATGGCAAAAGGAGGGTATTTTTGAAGAAACTGCATCAGATATTAATACTACACACAGAGGTCTTCAGGAGATAAAGCTTAGAAAAGCTGGCTTAGAACGAAGTGCAATACACAGTTTCCTATTGAGAGACCACAGGTCAAAGCAGGGTCTTAGGGGTATTAACTCCACAGGGATGTACAAGAAAGAAAAGAGAGGGAAAAGCAGGTGGCACAGACACACAGGTAACAAGGTATTAAAGAATGGCTGAGTGGCAAAGAAAAGAAAGCTAAGAAACCCAGAAAGGGCTGATGACTGACTGGAGAGCCAAGAAAAGATGAGGGAAAAA